AGATTCCTTTCAGCAACCAAATGGTAATGCTTCAGAGACGACTTCATGTCCCAGCTTTATTCCTTCAAAGGCTGTAGAAAATTCCTTTCAGCAACAAATAATAATGCTTCAAGAGACGACTTCATGCCCTAGTTTATTCCTTCAAGGCTGTAGAAGATTCCTTTCAGCAACAAATGGTAATGCTTCAGAGACGATTCATGTCCCAGCTTTCCTTCAAGGCTGTAGAAGATTCCCTTTCAGCAACCAAATAATAATGCTTCAGAGACGACTTCATGTCCCCAGCTTTCCTTCCTGTCAAAGATTCCAGCAACCAAATAATTTCAGATGACTTCAACCCAGCTTTATTCCTTCAATGAAGAATGCTTTCAGCAAACCAATAATGCGACTTCATGTCCCAGCTTTATTCCTTCAAAGGCTGTAGAAGATTCTTTCAGCAAACCAAATGGTAATAGCTTCAGAGACGACTTCATGTCCCAGCTTTATTCCTTCAAGGCTGTAGAAGATTCCTTTCAGCAACCAAATAATGATACTTCAGAGAACGACTTCATGTCCCAGCTTTTTATTCCTTCAAGGCTGTGAAGATTCCTTTCAACCAAATAATAATGAGAGACGACTTCATGTCCCAGCTTTATTCCTTCAAGGCTGTAGAAGATTCCTTTTCAACAACAAATAATAATGCTTCAGAGACGACTTCATGTCCCAGCTTTTCCTTCAGGCTGTAGAAGATTCCTTTCAGCAACCAAATAATAATGCTTCAGAGACGACTTCGTAATCAGGTTTATTCCTTCAAGTCTGTTAGAAGATTCTTTTCAGCAACCAAATAATGATGCTTCAGAGACGACTTCATGTCCCAGCTTTATTCTTCAGGCTGTAGAAGAATTCCTTTCAGCAACCAAATGAATAATGCTTCAGAGACGACTTCGTATCCCAGCTTTATTCAAGGCTGTTTGAAGATTCCTTTCAACAACAAATGGTAATGCTTCGAGACGACTTCATGTCCCAGACTTTTCCTTCAGGCTGTAGAAAATTCCTTTCAGCAACCAAATAATAATGCTTCAGAGACGACTTCATGTCCCAGCTTTATTCCTTCAAGGCTGTAGAAGATTCCCTTTCAGCAACCAAATAATAATGCTTCAGAGACGACTTCATGTCAGCTTTATTCCTTCAAACATGAACATCTTTCAGCAACCAAATGGTAATGTTTTTCAGACGACTTCATGTCCCAGCTTTATTCCTTCAAGGCTGTAGAAGATTCTTTCAACCTTCAAATAATAAATAGCTTCAGACGACTTCATGTCCCAGTTTTATTCCTTCAAGGCTGTGAAGATTCCTTTCAGCAACCAAATAATGCTTCAGAGACGACTTCGTGTCCCAGCTTTATTCCTTCAAGGCTGTAGAAGATTCCTTTCCCAGCAACCAAATAATAATGCTTCAAGAGACGACTTCATGTCCCAGCTTTTATTCTTCTTCAAGGTTAACAAAGATACCTTTCAGCAACCAAATAATAATGCTTCAGAGACGACTAAAAGTCCCAGCTTTATTCCTTCAAGGGCTGAAGATTCATTTCAGCAACCAAATAATAATGCTTCAGAGACGACTTCATGTCCCAGCTTTATTCCTTCAATGGCTGTGAAGATTCCTTTCAGCAACCAAATGGTAATGCTTCAGACGACTTCATGTCCCATTTCTTCAAGGCTGTAGAAGATTCCTTTCAGCAACAAATAATAATGCTTCAGAGACGACTTGCTCCCAGCTTTATTCCTTCAAGGCTGTAGAAGATTCCTTTCAGCAACCAAATAATAATGCTTCAGAGACGACTTCATGTCCCAGCTTTATTCCTTCAAGGCTGTAGAAGATTCCTTTCAGCAAACCAAATAATAATGCTTCAGAGACGACTTCATGTCCCAGCTTTATTCCTTCAGGCTGTAGAAATTCCTTTCAGCAACCAAATGGTAATACTTCCAGAACGACTTCATGTCCCAGCTTTATTCCTTCTCAAGGCTGTAGAAATTCCTTTCAGCAACCAAATAATAATGCTTCAGAGACGACTTCATGTCCCAGCTTTATTCCTTCAGGAACAGAAGATTCCTTTCAGCAACCAAATGGTAATGCTTCAGAGACGACTTCATGTCCCAGCTTTATTCCTTCAAGAAGAATTAAATGTCGTTTCAGAGAGATTCCTTTCAGCAATTCCAAATGTAGAAGATGCTTCAGCAACGACTTCAGAGACCCATGTCCCAGCTGTTCAGCTTCAAGGCTGTAGAAGACTTTTCCTTTTTCAGAGACAGCCCAATTCCTTCAAGGTGGTGCAACTAAATGGTAATGCTTCAGAGACGACTTCATGTCCCAGCTTTATTCCTTCAAGGCTGTAGAAGATTCCTTTCAACTTGACTAAATAATAATGCTTTAGAGACGACTTAAGGTCCCAGCTTTTATTCCTTCAAGGTTGTAGAAGACTTTCAGCAACCAAAATGCAAAATTCATGTCCCAATGCTTCATACAGACGACTTTTCATCAACCAAATATTCCTTCAAGGAGACTGTAGTCCCAGCTTTATTCCTTCAACGAACAAATAATAAATGCTTCAGAGACGACTTCATGTCCCAGTTTATTCCTTCAAAGGGCTGCTGAAGATTCCTTTCTTCAGCAACCAAATGGTAATGCTTCAGAGACGACTTCATGTCCCAGCTTATTCCTTCAAGGCTGTAGAAGATTCCTTTCAGCAACCAAATAATAATGCTTCAGAGACGACTTGTCCCAGCTTTATTCTTCAAGGCTGTAGAAGACTCTTCAGCAACTAAATAATAATGCTTCTGAGACGACTTGCGTCCAGCCAAATTCCTTCATACGTAGGAAGATCTTTCAGCAACCAAATAATAATGCTCAGAGACGACTTCATGTCCCAGATTTATTCCTTCAAGGCCAGAAGATACCTTTCAGCAACCAAATAATGCTTCAGAGACGACTTCATGTCCCAGCTTTTATTCCTTCTCAAGGCTGTAGAAGACCCCTTTCAGCAACCAAATAATAATGCTTCAGAGACGACTTCATGTCCCAGCTTTATTCCTTCGTTGTAGAAGATTCCTTTCAGCAAAACCAAATGGTAATGTAGAGAGATTCCCCAGCTTTTCCTTTCAAGGCAAAGATTCCAGCAACCAAATAATAAGAGACGACTCTGTCCCAGCTTTTATTCCTTCAAGGTTGTAGAAGATTCCTTTCAGCAACCAAATAATAATGCTTCAGAGACGACTTATGTCCCAGCTTTTATCCTTCAAGGTTGTAGAAGATTCCTTTCAGCAACCAAATAATAATGCTTCAGAGACGACTTGGCGTCCCAGCTTTATTCCTTCAAGGTTGTAGAAGATTCCTTTTTCAGCAACCAAATGGTACGCTTCAGAGACGACTTCATGTCCCAGCTTTATTCCCTTCAAGGCTGAAGATTCCTTTCAGCAACCAAATAGTTAAGCTTCAGAGACGACTTCATGTCCCAGCTTTTATTCCTTCAAGGCTGTAGAAGATTCCTTTCAGCAACTAAATAATAATGCTTCAGAGACGAATTCTTCCTGTGTCCTTCAAGGTTGTAGAAGACTTTATTCAGAGACGACTTTACGCTCCAGCTTTATTCCTTCAAGGCTGAGAAGATTTTCAGCAAACCAAATAATAATGCTTCAGAGACGACTTTATGTCCCAGCTTTATTCCTTCAAGGCTGTAGAAGATTCCTTTCAGCAAACAAATAATAATGCTCAGGAGACCATGTCCCAGCTTTATTCCTTCAAGGCTGTAGAAGTGATTCCTTTCAGCAACCAAAATGGAATAAGCTTCAGAGACGACTTTATGTCCCAGCTTTATTCCTTCAGGCTGTAAAGATTCCTTTCAGCAACCAAAAATGGTAATGCTTCAGAGACGACTTCATGTCCCAGCTTTCACCCTTCAAGGCTGTAGAAGATTCCTTTCAGCAACCAAATAATAATGCTTCAGAGACGACTTCTATGTCCCAGCTTTATTCCTTCAAGGCTGTGAAGATTCCTTTCAGCAACTAAATAATAATGCTTCAAATGTGTCCCAGCTTTATTCCTTCAAGGTTGTAGAAGATTCTTTCAGAGGACGTTTCAGAGATGACTTCATGTCCCAGCTTATTCCTTCAAGGCTGTAGAAGATTCCTTTCAGCAAACCAAATAATAACAGTTTCAGAGACGACTTCATGTCCCAGTTTTTTCCTTCTGCTGTAGAAGACTCCTTTCAGCAACCAAATGGTAATGTTTCAGAGACGACTTCATGTCCCAGCTTTATTCCTTCGTTGTAGAAGATTCTTTCAGCAAACCAAATAATAATGCTTCAGAGACGACTTCATGTCCCAGCTTTATTCCTTTCAAGGCTGTAGAAGATTCCTTTCACAACCAAATGGTACGCTTCAGAGACGACTTCATGTCCCAGCTTTATTCCTTACAAGGTTGTAGAGACGACTTCATGTCCCAGCTTTATTCCTTCAAGGTCAGAAGATTCCTTCAAACTAAATAATAATGCTTCAGAGGACGATTCATGTCCCAGCTTTATTCCTTCAAGGTTGTAGAAGACCTTTCAGCAACCAAATAATAATGCTTCAGAGACGACTTCATGTCCCAGCTTTATTCCTTCACATGTAGAAGATTCCTTCAGCAACCAAATGGTAATGCTTCAGAGACGACTTCTATGTCCCAGCTTTTATTCCTTCAAGGCTGTGTAGAAGATTCCTTTCAGCAACCAACAATAATGCTTCAGACGACTTCATGTCCCAGCTTTATTCCTTCAAGGCTGTAGAAGATTCCTTTCAGCAACCAAAATAATAATGCTTCAGAGACGACTTCATGTCCCAGCTTTATTCCTTCAAGGCTGTAGAAAGATTCCTTCAGCAACCAAATAATAATGCTTCAGAGACGACTTCATGTCCCAGCTTTTATTCCTTCAAGGCTGTAGAAGATCCTTTCAGCAACCAAAATGGTAATGCTTCAGAGACGACTTCATGTCCCAGCTTTATTCCTTCAAGGCAGAAGATCCTTTCTTTCAGAGACAACCAAATTTAATCCTTCAAGGCTGTAGAGATTCCTTTCATAGCAAACCCAGAGACGAATTATGTCCCAGCTTATTCCTTCTTCAAGGCTGTAGAAGATTCCTTCAGCAACCAAATAATAATGCTTCAGAGACGACTTCATGTCCCAGCTTTATTCTTCAGGCTGTAGAAGATTCTTTTTCAGCAACCAAATGGTAATGTTTCAGAGACGACTTCTATGTCCCAGCTTTATTCCTTCAAGGCTGTAGAAGATTCTTTCAGCAACCAAATAATAATGTTTCAGAGACGACTTCATGTCCCAGCGCTTTATTCCTTCAAGGTAGAAGATTCCTCAGCAACCAAATGGTAATGCTTCAGAGACGACTTCATGTCCCAGCTTTATTCCTTCAAGGCTGTAGAAGATTCCTTTCAGCAACCAAATAATAATTTCAGAGACGACTTGTCCCAGCTTTTATTCCCCTTCAAGGCTGTAGAAGATACTTTCAGCAACCAAATAATAATGGTTCAGAGACGACTTCATGTCCCAGCTTTATTCCTTCAAGGCTGTAGAAGATTCCTTTCAGCAACCAAATAATAATGCTTCAGACGACTTCATGTCCCAGCTTTATTCCTTCAAGTCTGTAGAAGATTCCTTCAAGGCAAAGAAATAATAGGTAATGAGACGACTTCTATGTCCCAGTTTATATTCCTTTGTAGAAGATCCTTTCAGCAACCAAATGGTAATGCTCAGGAGACGACTTATGTCCTAGCTTTATTCCTCCTTCTGGCCGTAGAAGATTCCTTTCAGCAACCAAATGGTAATGCTTCAGAGACGACTTTCATGTCCCAGCTTTTTCTCTTCAAGGCTGTAGAAGATTCCTTTCAGCAACCAAATGGTAATGCTTCAGAGACGACTTGCTGTCCCAGCTTTATTCCTTCAAGGTTGTAGAAGATTCCTTTCAGCAACCAAATAATAATGCTTCAGAGACGACTTCATGTCCCAGCTTTATTCCTTCAAGGTTGTAGAAGATCTTTCAGCAACCAAATGGTAATGCTTCAGAGACGACTTCTGTCCCAGCTTTTATTCCTTCAAGGCTGTAGAAGATTCCTTCAGCAACCAAATGGTGGTCACGTTTCAGAGACGACTTCATGTCCTGTAGCTTTATTCCTTCAAGGCTGTAGAAGATTCCTTTCAGCAACCAAATGGTAATGCTTCAGAGACGACTTCATGTCCCAGCTTTATTCCTTCAAGGTTGTAGAAGATTCCTTTCAGCAACCAAATGGTAATGCTTCAGAGACGACTTCATGTCCCAGCTTTATTCCTTCAAGGTTGCAGAAGATTCCTTTCAGCAACCAAAATAATAATGCTTCAGGACGACTTCATGTCCCAGCTTATTCCTTCAAGGCTGTAGAAGATTCCCTTTCAGCAACCAAATGGTAATGTTCAGAGACGACTTCATGTCCCAGCTTTATTCCCTTCAACAGAAGATTCCTTTCAGCAACCAAATGGTAATGCTTCAGAGACGACTTCATGTCCCAGCTTTATTCCTCCTGTGAAGACCTTTCAGCAACCAAATAATTCCTTCAGAGACGACTTTACGTCCCAGATTCTTCCGTTGTAGAGATTCCTTTCAGCAACCAAATGGTAATGCTTCAGAGACGAATTCATGTCCCAGCTTTATTCCCTTCAAGGTTGTAGGAAGATCTCCTTTCAGCAACCAAATAATAATGCTTCAGAGACGACTTCATGTCCCAGCTTTTATTCCTTCAAGGCTGTGGAAGATTCCTTTCAGCAACCAAATAATAATGCTTCAGAGACGACTTCATGTCCCAGCTTTATTCCCTTCAAGGTTGTGCAGAAGATTCTTCAGCAACTAAATAATAATGCTTCAGAGACGACTTCATGTCCCAGCTTATTCTTTATTCCTTTCAGCAAACTAAAATGGTAATGCTTCAGAAGATTTATTCCTTTCCTTCAGCAACCAAATGGTAATGCTTCCAGAGACGACTTCTGTCCCAGTTTATTCCTTCAAGGCTTTTGGTAATGCTTCAGACGATCATGTCCCAGAAGATTCCTTCAGCTGTAGAAGATTCCTTTCAGCAACCAAATAATAATGCTTCAGAGACGACTTCATGTCCCAGCTTTATTCCTCAAGGCTGTAGAAGATTCCCTTTCAGGACGAATGTCCAGCTTTATTCCTTCAATACCTTCAGCAACCAAATGGTAATGCTTCAGAGACGACTTCATGTCCCAGCTTTATTCCTTCAAGGCAGAAGATCTCTTTCAGCAAACCAAATGGTAATGCTTCAGAGACTTCATGTCCCAGCTTTATTCCTTCAAGGCTGTAGAAGATTCCTTTCAGCAACCAAATAATAATGCTCAGAGACGACTTCATGTCCCAGCTTTATTCCTTCAAGGTTGTAGAAGATTCTTTCAGCAAACCAAATGGTAATGCTTCAGAGACGACTTCATGTCCCAGCTTTTATTCCCTTCACTGTAGAAGATTCTTTCAGCAACCAAATGGTAATGCTTCAGACGACTTCATGTCCCAGCTTTATTCCTTCAAGGCTGTAGAAGACTCCTTTCAGCAAATTAAATAATAATGCTTCAGAGACGACTTCCATGTCCCAGCTTTATTCCTTCAAGGCTGTAGAAGATTCCTTTCAGCAAACAAATAATAATGCTTCAGAGACGACTTCATGTCCCAGCTTTTATTCCTTCAAGGTTCAAGGCAACCAAATGTAATGAGAGATTCCCAGCTTATTACTCAAGGTTGTAAACCAAACCAATGGTAATGCTTCAGAGACGACTTTCATGTCCCAGCTTTATTCCTTCAAGGCTGTAGAAGACCTTTTCAGCAAACCAAATGGTAATGCTTCTGAGACGGACTTCATGTCCCAGCTTTATTCCTTCAGGCTGTAGAAGATTCCTTTCAGCAAACAAATAATAATGCTTCAGAGACGACTTCATGTCCCAGCTTTCTTTATTCCTTTCTTCAGACGGTCCCAGCTTTATCTTCAAGGTTGTAGAAGATTCCTTCAGCAACCAAAAATAATGCTTCAGAGACGACTTCATGTCCCAGCTTTATTCCTTTCAAGGCTGTAGAAGATTCCTTTCAGCAACCAAAATGGTAATGCTCAGAGACGACTTCATGTCCCAGTTTTATTACTTTCAAGGCTGTAGAAGATTCCTTTCAGCAACCAAATGGTAATGCTTCAGAGACGACTTCATGTCCCAGCTTTATTCCTTTCAAGGCTGTAGAAGCTTCAGAGACGACTTCATGTCCCAGCTTTATTCTCCTTCTGCAAGATCCAAATAAATGGTAATGCTTTCAGAGACGACTTCATGTCCCAGCTTTATTTTCAAGGCTGAAGATTCCTTTCAGCAACCAAATAATAATGCTTCAGAGACGACTCTTATGTTCCAGCTTTATTCCTTCAAGGTTGTAGAAGATTCCTTTCTCAAACTAAATGGTAATGCTTCAGAGACGACTTCATGTCCCAGCTTCTCCTTCATTGCTAGAAGACTCCTTTCAGCAACCAAATAATAATGCTTCAGAGACGACTTGTTCCAGCTTTATTCCTTCTCAAGGCTGTAGAAGATTCCTTTCAGCAACCAAATGGTAATGCTTCAGAGACGACTTCATGTCCCAGCTTTATTCCTTGCATGCTGTAGAAGATTCCCTTTCAGTAAACCAAATAATAATGCTTCAGACGACTTCATGTTCCAGCTTTTATTCTTCAAGGTTGTAGAAGATTCTTTCAGCAACCAAAATGGTAATGCTTCAGAGACGACTTCATGTCCTGTGCTTTATTCTTCAAGGCTGTAGAAGATTCCTTTCAGCAACCAAATAATAATGCTTCAGAGACGACTCTGTCCCAGCTTTATTCCTTCAAGGTTGTAGAAGATTCCTTTCAGCAACCAAATGGTAATGCTTCAGAGACGACTTCATGTCCCAGCTTTATTCCTTCAAGGTTGTAGAAGATTCCTTTCAGCAACCAATAATAATGCTTCAGAGACGACTTATGTCCCAGCTTTATCTTCCTTCAAGGCAACCAAATAATGTAGAAGATTATTCCTCCTTGATCTTTCAGCAACCAAATGGTAATGCTTCAGAGACGACTTCATGTCCCAGCTTTTGTATTCCTTCAAGGCTGTAGAAGATTCTTTCAGCAACCAAATGGTAATGCTTCAGAGACGACTTCATGTCCCAGCTTTATTCCTTTCAAGGCTGTAAGATTCCTTTCAGCAACCAAATGGTAATGCTTCAGAGACGACTTCATGTCCCAGCTTTATTCCTTCAAGGCTGTAGAAGATTCCCTTTCAGCAAACAAATAATAATGCTTCAGAGACGACTCATGTCCCAGCTTTATTCCTTCAAGGTTGTAGAAGATTCCTTTCAGCAACCAAATGGTAATGCTTCAGAGACGACTTCATGTCCCAGCTTTTTATCCCTTCAGCAGGGTGTTCAGAAGACTCCTTTCCCAACTAAATTCCTTTCAAAATAATGCTTCAGAGACGACTCTGCTGTCCCAGCTTTATTTATTCAAGGCTGTAGAAGATTTCAGCAACCAAATGGTACGTTTCAGAGACGACTTCATGTCCCAGCTTTATTCTTCAAGGCTGTAGAAGATTCCTTTCAGCAAACTAAATGGTAATGCTTCAGAGACGACTTCATGTCCCAGCTTTTCCTCAAGGTTGTAGAAGATTTCAGCAACTAAATGGTAATGCTTCAGAGACGATCATGTCCCAGCTTTATTCCTTCAAGGCTGTAGAAGATTCCTTTCAGCAACCAAATGGTACGTTTGGATGTCCCAGCTTATTCTTCAAGGTCAGAAGATTCTTTCATGTCCCCAGCTTTATTCCTTCAAGGCTGTAGAAGACCTTTTCAGCAACCAAATAATAATGCTTCAGAGACGACTTCATGTTCCAGCTTTATTCCTTCAAGGCTGTAGAAGATTCCTTTCAGCAACCAAATAATACGCTAATGCCCAGCTTTATTCCTTCAGGAGACGACTTTCATAAACCAAATGGTAATGCTTTATTCCTTCCAGCTTTTAGGCTGTAGAAGATTCCTTTCAGCAACCAAAATGGTAATGCGCTTCAGAGACGACTTCTTGCTGTCCCAGCTTTATTCCTTCAAGATCTGTAGAAGAAATAATAATTCAGCAACCATTCCTTCAAGGTAATAATGCTTCAGAGACGACTTCTATGTTCCAGCTTTTATTCCTTCAAGGCTGTAGAAGATTCTTTCAGCAACCAAATGGTAATGCTCAGAGTCCCAGCTTTATTCCTTCAAGGTCCCAGCTTTATTCCTTTACTTTCAAGGTTGAAGATTCCTTTCAGCAACCAAATAATAATGCTTCAGAGACGACTTCATGTCCCAGCTTTATTCCTTCAAGGTTGTAGCAAGATTCAGAGACGACTTCAGCCAACTTTAATGGTTCAAGGCTGTAGAAGACGACTTAATAATAATGCTTTATTCCTTCAAGGCCAGAAGATTCCTTTCAGCAAACCAAATGGTAATGCTTCAGACACGAATTCATGTTCCAGCTTTATTCCTTCAAGGCTGTAGAAGATCTTTTCAGCAACCAAATAATAATGCTCAGAGACGACTTCATGTCCCCAGCTTATTCCTTCAAGGCTGTGAAGATTCCTTCAGCAACCAAATAATAATGCTTCAGAGACGACTTCATGTCCCAGCTTTATTCCTTCAAGGCTGTAGAAGATTCCTTTCAGCAACTAAAATGGTACGTCCCAGCTGCTTCAAGGCTAGACGACTTTCATGTCCCGCTTTTTATTCCTTCAAGGCTGTAGAAGATCCTTTCAGCAACCAAATAATACGTTTAGAGACGACTTCATGTCCCAGCTTTTATTCCTTCAAGGCTGTAGAAGATTCCTTTCAAACCAAATGGTAATGCTTCAGAGACGACTTCTTATGTCCCATTCCTTCAAGCTTTTCTTCATTAATGTCAGAGACGACTTCATGTCCTAGGCTTATTCCCTTCAAGGTAGAAGATTCTTTCTAGCAACCAAATAATAATGCTTCAGAGACTTTCTTGTCCCAGCTTTATTCTTCTTCAGCAACCAAATGGCTGTAGAAGTCCCATTCCCAGAAGATTTTCAGCAACCAAATAATAATGCTTCAGAGACGACTTCATGTCCCAGCTTTATTCCTTCAAGGTTGTAAAGATTCTTTCAGCAACCAAATAATAATGCTTCAGAGACGACTTGTTGTCCCAGCTTTTATTCCTTCAAGGCTGTAGAAGACCTTTCAGCAAAAATAAAATTCAGGTAACAATATTTAAGGTTAGAAGACTTTTCATGTCCCAGAGATTACTTTATTCCTTCAAGGCCAGAAGATTCCTTTCAGCAACCAAATAATAATGCTTCAGAGACGACTTCATGTCCCAGCTTTATTCCTTCAAGGCTGTAGAAAGATTCCTTCAGCAACCAAATGGTAATGCTTCAGAGACGACTTCATGTCCCAGCTTTTGTTCCTTCAAGGCTGTAGAAGATTCCTTTCAGCAAAACCAAATAATAATGTTTCAGAGACGACTTCATGTCCCAGCTTTATTCTTCAAGGCACAGAAGATTCCTTTCAGCAACCAAAATGGTAATGCTTCAGACGACTTCATGTCCCCAGCTTTATTCCTTCAAGGCTGTAGAAGATTCCTTTCAGCAACCAAATAATAATGCTTGAGACGACTTCATGTCCCAGCTTTATTCCTTCAAGGCTGTAGAAGATTCCTTTCAAGCAACCAAATGGTAATGCTTCAGAGACGACTTCATATGTCCCAGCTTTATTCCTTCTTCATGTAGAAGATTCCTTTCAGTAACCAAATAATGCTTCAGAGACGACTTCTGTCCTTTTTGCAGACGATCTTCAGCAAACTGTCCGAGCCCTTTTATTCCTTCAAGGCTGTAGAAGATTCCTTTCAAATAATAATGTAACCAAATTCCTCAAGGTTGTAGAAGATGCTTCAGAGATGACTTGCTGTCCCAGCTTTATTCCTTCAAGGCTGTAGAAGATTCCTTTCAGCAACCAAATAATAATGCTTCAGAGACGACTTCATGTCCCAGCTTTATTCCTTCAAGGCTGAAGATTCCTTTCAGCAAACTAAAATGGTAATGCTTCAGGAGACGACTTCATGTCCCAGCTTTTATTCCTTCGGTTGTAGAAGGATTCTTTCAGCAACCAAAATGGTAATGCTCAGAGACGAATTCATGTCCCAGCTTTATCTTCAAGGCTGTAGAAGATTCCTTTCAGCAAATCAAAATGGTAATGCTTCAGAGACGACTTCATGTCCCAGCTTTATTCCTTCAAGGCTGTAGAAGATTCTTTTCAGCAACCAAATAATAATGCTCAGAGACGACTTCATGTCCCAGCTTTATTCCTTCAAGGTTGTAGAAGATCCTTTCAGCAACTTCAAATAATAATGTTTCAGAGACGACTTCATGTCCCAGCTTTATTCCTTCAAGGCTGTAGAAGATTCCTTTCAGCAACCAAATAATAATGCTTCAGAGACGACTTCATGTCCCAGCTTTATTCCTTCCAAGGCTGTAGAAGATCCTTTCAGCAACTAAATGGTAATGCTCAGAGACGACTTCATGTCCCAGCTTTATTCCTTCAAGGTTGTAGAAGATTCCTTTCAGCAAACCAAATAATAATGTTGAGACGACTTAATGTCCCAGCTTTTATCCTTCAAGGCTGTAGAAGATTCTTCAGCAACCAAAATGTTAATGCTTCAGAGACGACTTCATGTCCCAGCTTTTATTCCTTGGCTGTAGAAGATTACTTTCAGCAACCAAAAGCTGGTAATGCTTCAGAGACGACTTCATGTCCCAGCTTTATTCCTCTTCAAGGCTGTAGAAGATTCCTTTCAGCAAAACTAAATGGTAATGCTTCAGAGACGACTTTATGTCCCCAGCTTTTATTCCTTCAAGGCTGTAGAAGATTCCTTTTCAGCAACCAAATAATAATGCTTTCAGAGACGACTTCATGTCCAGCTTTTTCCTTCAAGGTTGTAGAAGATTCCTTTCAGCAACCAAATGGTAATGCTTCAGAGACGACTTTCATGTCCCAGCTTTTATTCCTTCATATTGTAGAAGATTCCTTCAGCAACCAAATGGTAAGACGACTGTCCCAGCTGTAGAGACTTCAGCAACCAACAATAATGTCTTGTCCCAGATTTATTCCTTTCAAGGCAACCAACAATAATGAGACGATTCCCCAGCTTTGACCTCTTTCCAAGGCAAAGATTCTGGGCGGTAATGCTTCAGAGATTTCGACCGCATGTCCCAGGTTTATTCCCCAGCTTTATTCCTTCAAGGCTGTAGAAGATTCCTTCAGCAAACCAAATGGTAATGCTTCAGAGACGACTTTCATGTCCCAGCTTTTATTCTTCAAGGTTGTGAAGATTCTTTCAGCAACCAAATGGTAATGCTTCAGAGACGACTTCATGTCCCAGCTTTATTCCTTCAAGGCTGTAGAAGATCCCTTTCAGCAACCAAATGGTAATGCTTCAGAGACGACTTCATGTCCCAGCTTTATTCCTTCAAGGCTGTAGAAGATTCCTTTCAGCAAACCAAATGGTAATGTTTCAGAGACGACTTCATGTCCCAGCTTTATTCCTTCATACATGAAGATTCTTTCAGCAACTAAATAATAATGCTTCAGAGACGACTTCATGTCCCAGCTTTATTCTTCAAGGTTGTAGAAGATTCCTTCAGCAACCAAATGGTAATGCTTCAGAGACGACTTCATGTCCCAGCTTTTTATTCCTTCAAGGCTGTAGAAGATTCCTTTCAGCAAACTAAATAATAATGCTTCAGAGACGACTTCATGTCCCAGCTTTATTCCTTCAAGGTTGTAGAAGATTCCTTCAGCAACCAAATGGTAATGCTTCAGAGACGACTTTTGCTGTCCCAGCTTTATTCCTGCTGTAGAAGATTCTTTCAGCAACCAAATAATAACAATGCTTCAGAGACGACTTATGTCCCAGCTTTTATTCCTTCAAGGCTGTAGAAGATTCCTTCAGCAACCAAATGGTAATGCTTCAGAGACGACTCATATGTCCCAGCTTTATTCCTCAAGGCTGTAGAAGATTCCTCTTGCAACCAAATAATAATGCTTCAGAGACGACTTCATGTCCCAGTTTTATTCCTTCAAGGCTGTAGAAGATTCCTTTCAGCAACCAAATGGTAATGTTTAGAGACGACTTCATGTCCCAGCTTTATTCTTCAAGTCTGTAGAAGATTCCTTTCAGCAAACTAAATAATAATGCTTCAGAGACGACTTCATGTCCCAGCTTTATTCCTTATTCCTTCAGCAACCAAATGGTAATGCTTCAGAGATTGACTGTAGAAGGCTGTAGAAGATTCCTTTCAGCAACCAAATAATAATGCTTCAGAGACGACTTCATGTCCCAGCTTTTTATTCCTTCAAGGCTGTAGAAGATTCTTTCAGCAACCAAATTGTAATGCTTCAGAGACGACTTTCATGTCCCAGCTTTATTCCCTTCAAGGCTGTAGAAGATTCCTTTCAGCAACCAAATGGTAATGTTTGCAGACGACTTCAGTCCCAGCTTCCTTCAGGAGAAGATTCCTTTCAGCAACCAAGTGGTAATGCTTCAGAGACGACTTTCAGAGACGATTCCCCAGCTTTCAGGCAACCTTTTCCAACTAAAATAATAATGCTTCAGAGACGACTTGTGTCCCAGCTTTATTCCTTCAAGGCTGTAAGATTCCTTTCAGCAACCAAAATAATGCTTCAGAGACGACTTCATGTCCCAGCTTTATTATTCAATCCTTCACGAAGATTCTTTCAGCAACCAAATAATAATGTATGTCCAGCTTTAAAGATTCCTTTCAGCAACCAAATAATAATGCTTCAGAGACGACTTCATGTCCCAGCTTTATTCCTTCAAGGCTGTAGAAGATTCCTTTCAGCAAACAAATAATAATGCTTCAGAGACGACTTCATGTCCCAGCTTTATTCCTTCAAGGCTGTAGAAGATTCCTTTCAGCAACCAAATAATAATGCTTCAGAGACGACTTCATGTCCCAGCTTTATTCCTTCAAGGCTGTAGAAGATTCTTTCAGCAACCAAATGGAATGCTTCAGAGACGACTTCATGTCCCAGCTTTTTTTTCCTTCAAGGCTGTAGAAGATTCCTTCAGCAACCAAATGGTAATGCTTCTTCAGAGACGACTTCATGTCCCAGCTTTATTCCTTCACATGTAGAAGATTCTTTCAGCACCAAATAATAATGCTTCAGGAGACGACTTCATGTCCCAGCTTTATTCCTTCAAGGCTGTAGAAGATTCTTTCAGCAACCAAATGGTAATGCTTCAGAGACGACTTCGCTGTCCCAGCTTTATTCCTTCAAGGCTGTAGAAGATTCCTTTCAAGCAAACAAATAATAATGCTTCAGAGACGACTTCATCCCAGCTTTCCCAGCTTTATTCCTTTCAAGGTTGCAGAAGATTCCTTTCAGCAACCAAATAATAATGTACTTCAGAGACGACTTCATGTTCCCAGCTTTTTTATTCCTTCAAGGCTGTAGAAGATTCCTTTCAGCAAATCAAATAATAATGTGCTTCAGACGTCTTCATGTCCCAGCTTTTATTCCTTCAAGGCTGTAGAAGATTTTTCAGCAACCAAAATGGTAAGCGCGACTTCAGAGACGACTTCATGTCCCAGCTTTATTCCTTCAAGGTTGTAGAAGATTCCTTTCAGCAACCAAATAATAATAACTTCAGAGAGACGACTTATGTCCCAGCTTTATTCCTTCAAGGCTGTAGAAGATTCCGCTTTCAGCAACCAAATAATAATGCTTCAGAGACGACTTCATGTCCCAGCTTTTTATTCCTTCAAGGCTGTAGAAGATTCCTTTCAGCAACCAAATAATAATGTTTCAGAGACGACTTCATATGTCCCAGCTTTTTATTCCTTCAAGGCTGAAGATTCCTTTCAACAACCAAATGGTAATGCTTCAGAGACGACTTCATGTCCCAGCTTTATTCCTTCAAGGCTGTAGAAGATTCCCTTTCAGCAACCAAATAATAATACTCAGAGACGACTTCATGTCCCAGCTTTATTCCTTCAAGGCTGTGAAGATTCCTTTCAGCAACCAAATAATAATGCTTCAGAGACGACTTCATGTCCCAGCTTTATTCCTTCAAGGCTGTAGAAGATTCCTTTCAGCAACCAAATAATAATGTCTTCAGAGACGACTTCATGTCCCAGCTTTATTCCTTCAAGGCTGTAGAAGATTCCTTTCAGCAATAAATAATAATGCTTCAGAGACGACTTCATGTCCCAGCTTTATTCCTTCAAGGCTGTGAGAAGATTCCTTTCAGCAACCAAATAATAATGCTTCAGGAGACGTCTTCATGTCCCAACTTTATTCCTTCAAGGCTGTCCCAGATTCCTTTTCATAATGATAATACCAGAGCGACTGTGTCCCAGCTTTATTCCTTCCTTTCAGCAACCAAATGGTAATGCTTCAGAGACGACTTCATGTCCCAGCTTTATTCTTCAAGGCTGTAGAAGATTCCTTTCAGCAACCCAATAATAATGCTTCAGAGACGACTTCATGTCCCAGCTTTATTCCTTCAAGGCTGTAGAAGATTCTTTCAGCAACCAACAATAATGCTTCAGAGACGACTTCATGTGTCCCAGCTTTATTCCTTCAAGGCTGTGAAGATTCCTTTCAGCAACCAAATAATAATGCTTCAGAGACGATTCCTTCAAGTCCCAGCAGCAAAATTTATTCCTTCAAGTCTGTGAAGATTCCTTTTCAGCAACCAAATGGTAATGCTTCAGAGACGACTTACAGTCCCAGCTTTATTCTTCAAGGCTGTAGAAGATTCCTTTCAGCAAACCAAATGGTAATGCTTCAGAGACGACTTCATGTCCCAGCTTTATTCCTCCTTCAAGGCTGTAGGTATTTCTTTCAGCAACCAAATGGTAATGCTTCAAGACGACTTCATGTCCCAGCTTTTTTCCTTCTTCAAGGCTGTAGATTCCTTTCAGCAACCAAATAAATAATGCTTCAGAGACGACTTCATGTCCCAGCTTTATTCCTTCAAGGCTGTAGAAGATTCCTTTCAGCAACCAAATAATAATGTTTTCAGGGACGACTTCATGTCCAGCTTTATTCCTTCAAGGCTGTGAAGATTCTTTCAGCAACCAAATAATAATGCTTCAGAGACGAGCTTCATGTCCCAGATTTATTCCTTCAAGGCTGTGAAGATTCCTTTCAGCAACCAAATGGTAATGCTTCAGAGACGACTTCATGTCCCAACTAAGGCTTTATTCATGTCTTTATTCCTTCTAGTATAGAAGATTCCTTTCAACAGCAAAATAATAGAAGAGACGACCATGTCCTTTCCTTCGCAGCAACTAAAATAATAATGCTTCAGAGACGACTTTCATGTCCTTTTATTCCTTTAGCATTTATTCCAACCAAATAATAAATAACACAGAAGATTCCTTCAAGCAACCAAGCAAATGGTAATAACTAAGAGACGACTTCATGTCCCAGCTTTTATTCATTAAAGGTTGTAGAAGATTTCTTTCAGCAACCAAATAATAATGCTTCAAGGAGACGACTTCATGTCCCAGCTTTTATTCATTCAAGGTTCATGTCCAGAAGATTTTCAGCAACCAAATGGTAATGCTTCAGAGACGACTTCATGTCCCAGCTTTATTCCTTCAAGGCTGTAGAAGATTCCTTTCAGCAACCAAATAATAATGCTTCAGAGACGACTTCATGTCCCAACGTAAATAATAATGCTTTATTCCTTCAAGGCTGTAGAAGATTCCTTTCAGCAACCAAATGGTAATGCTTCAGAGACGACTTCATGTCAGCTTTTATTCAACTGTCCCCAGCTTTATTCCTTCAAGGCTTTATAGAAGATTCCTTTCAGCAAAAAATAATAATGTTCAGAGACGACTTCATGTCCTTCGCAGCTTTATTCCTTCAAGGCTGTAGAAGATTCCTTTCAGCAACCAAATAATAATGAGACTTCAGAGACGACTTCATGTCCCAGCTTTATTCCTTCAAGGCATTAAAGTAGAAGATTCCTTTCAGCAACCAAATAATAATGCTTCAGAGACGACTTCATGTCCCCAGCTTTATTCCTTCAAGGTTGTTTAGAAGATTCTTTCAGCAACCAAATAATAATGCTTCAGAGACGACTTCGTGTCCCAGCTTTATTCCTTCAAGGCTGTAGAAGATTCCTTTCAGCAACCAAATAATAATGCTTCAGAGACGACTTCATGTCCCAGCTTTATTCCTAAGAACAAGGCGCTGTAGAAATAATAATGCTTCAGAGACGACTTCATGTCTTTCCTTCAAGCAACCAAATGGTAATCCTTCAGAGACGACTTCATGTCCCAGCTTTGTTCATTCCTTCAAGGCTGTAGAAGATTCCTTTCAGCAAACAAATAATAATGCTTCAGAGACGACTTCATGTCCCAGCTTTATTCCTTCAAAGGCTGTAGAAGATTCCTTTCAACAACAAATGGTAATGCTTCAGACGACTTCATGTCCCAGCTTTATTCCTTCATATTGTAGAAGATTCCTTTCAGCAACAAATAATGCTTCAGAGACGACTTCATGTCCCAGATTTTATTCCTTCAAGGCTGTGAAGATACCTTTCATAACCAAATACTAATGCTTCGGAGAGGACTTCATGTCCCAGCTTTATTCCTTCAGAAATTCAATGCTGATTCCTTTCAACAACCAAATGGTAATGCTTCAGAGACGACTTCATGTCCAGCTTTATTCCTTCAAGGCTGTAGAAGATTCCTTCATAAACCAAATGGTAATGACTTCATGTCCCAGAGAAAACAGACACTTCAAATAATAAAATACGTCCTTCATGTCAGCTTATCCCTTCAAGGCTTTGTAGAACGACTTCCTTTTCAGCAACCCTTTCAAACAAATAATAGCTTCAGAGACGACTTCATGTCCCAGCTTTGTTCCTTCAGGCTCTTCCAATAGTGTCTTCGAGAGAAGTCCCATTTCCTTCAAGGCAATTCCTTAAATGGTAATGCTTCAGAGACGACTTCATGTCCCAGCTTTATTCCTTCGAAACCCTTAAGACCCTTTCAGCAACCAAATGGTAATGCTTGAGACGAATTCATGTCCCAGCTTTATTCCTTCATACAGGTACCTTTCAGCAACCAAATAATAATGCTTCAGAGACGACTTCAGTCCCAGCTTTATTCCTTCAAGGCTGTAGAAGATTCCTTTCAGCAACCAAATAATAATGCTTCAGAGACGACTTCATGTCCCAGCTTTATTCCTTCAAGGCTGTAGAAGATTCCTTTCAGCAACCAAATAATAGTAGCTTCAGAGACGACTTCATGTCCCAGCTTTATTCCTTCAAGGCTGGCGAAGATTCCTTTCAGCAACCAAATGGTAATGCTCAGAGACGACTTCGTGTCCCAGCTTTTATTCCTTCAAGGCTGTAGAAGATTCTAGCAACCAAATAATAATGCTTCAGAGACGACATGTCCCAGCACATTCCTTCACATGAAGATTCCTTTCAGCAACAAATGGTAAATAGCTGAGACGACTTCATGTCCCAGCTTTTATTCTTCAAGGCTGTAGAAGATTCCTTTCAGCAACCAAATAATAATGCTTCAGACGACTGTGTCGCTTTTGTTCTTCAAAGGCTGTCCCAGCTTTATTCAGAGACGACTTCATGTCAGCTTTATTCCTTCAGGGCTGTAGAATTCGCTTTCAGCAACTAAATGGTAATACTTCAGAGACGACTTCGAGACCTTCAAGGCTGTAGTTCCTTTCAACCAAATAATAATATAATAATGCTTCAGCTTTATTCCTTCAAGGCTGTGACTTCATGTCTTCAGACTTTATTCCTTCAAGGCTGTAGAAGATTCCTTTCAGCAACCAAATGGTAATGCTTCAGAGACGACTTCGTATGTCCCAGCTTTATTCATTCAAGGCTGTAGAAGATTCCTTTCAGCAACCAAATAATAATGCTTCAGAGACGACTTCATGTCCCAGCTTTATTCCTTCAAGGCTTAAGATTCCTTTCAGCAACCAAATAATAATGCTTCAGAACGACTTCATGTCCAACTTTATTCCTTCAAGGCTGTAGAAGATTCCTTTCAAACAAAATAATAATGCTTCAGAGACGACTTCATGTCCCAGCTTTATTCATTCAAGGCTGTAGAAGATTCCTTTCAGCAACCAAATAATAATGCTTCAGAGACGACTTCATGTCCCAGCTTTATTCCTTCAAGGCTGTGAAGATTCCTTTCAGCAACCAAATGGTAATGCTTCAGAGACGACTTCATGTCCCAGCTTTATTCCTTCAAGGCTGTAGAAGATTCCTTTCAGCAACAAAATGGTAATGCTTCAGAGACGACTTCCATGTCCCAGCTTTATTCCTTCAAGGCTGTAGAAGATTCCTTTCAGCAACCAAATAATAATGCTTCAGAGACGACTTCATGTCCAGCTTTATTCCTTCAAAAACTGTAGAAGATTCCTTCAACAACCAAATAATAATGCTTCAGAGACGACTTCATGTCCCAGCTTTATTCCTTCAAGGCTGTAGAATTCCTTTCAGCAACCAAATGGTAATGCTTCAGAGACGACTTCATGTCCCAGCTTTATTCCTTCAAGGCTGTAGAAGATTCCTTTCAGCAACCAAATAATAATGCTTCAGAGACGACTTCATGTCCCAGCTTTATTCCTTCAAGGCTGTAGAAGATTCCTTTCAACAACCAAATAATAATGCTTCAGAGACGACTTCATGTCCCAGCTTTATTCCTTCAAGGCTGTAGAAGATTCCTTTCAGCAACCAAATAATAATGCTTCAGAGACGACTTCATGTCCCAGCTTTATTCCTTCAAGGCTGTAGAAGATTCCTTTCAGCAACCAAATAATAATGCTTCAGAGACGACTTCATGTCCCAGCTTTATTCCTTCAAGGCTGTAAAGATTCCTTTCAGCAACCAAATAATAATGCTTCAGAGACGACTTCATGTCCCAGCTTTATTCCTTCAAGGCTGTAGAAGATTCCTTTCAGCAACCAAATAATAATGCTTCAAGAGACGACTTCATGTCCCAAGCTTTATTCCTTCAAGGCTGTAGAAGATTCCTTTCAGCAACCAAATAATAATGCTTCAGAGACGACTTCATGTCCCAGCTTTATTCCTTCAAGGCTGTAGAAGATTCCTTTCAGCAACCAAATAATAATGCTTCAGACGACTTCATGTCCCAGCTTTATTCCTTCAAGGCTGTAGAAGATTCCTTTCAGCAACCAAATAATAATGCTTCAGAGACGACTTCATGTCCCAGCTTTATTCCTTCAAGGCTGTAGAAGATTCCTTTCAGCAACCAAATAATAATGCTTCAGAGACGACTTCATGTCCCAGCTTTATTCCTTCAAGGCTGTAGAGATTCCTTTCAGCACCAAATAATAATGCTTCAGAGACGACTTCATGTCCCAGCTTTATTCCTTCAAGGCAGCAGAAGATTCTTTCAGCAACCAAATGGTAATGCTTCAGAGACGACTTCATGTCCCAGCTTTATTCCTTCAAGGCTGTAGAAGATTCCTTTCAGCAACAAATGGTAATGCTTCAGGAGACGACTTACGTCCCAGCTTTATTCCTTCAAGGCTGTAGAAGATTCTTTCATGTCTTCAGAGACGACTTCCAGCTTTATTCCTTCAAGGCTGTAGAAGATTCCTTTCAGCAACCAAATAATAATGCTTCAGAGACGACTTCATGTCCCAGCTTTATTCCTTCAAGGCTGTAGAAGATTCCTTTCAGCAACCAAATGGTAATGCTTCAGAGACGACTTCATGTCCTGCTTTATTCCTTCAAGGCTGTAGAAGATTCCTTTCAGCAACCAATAATAATGCTTCAGAGACGACTTCATGTCCCAGCTTTATTCCTTCAAGGCTGTAGAAGATTCCTTTCAGCAACCAAATAATAATGCTTCAGAGACGACTTCATGTCCCAGCTTTATTCCTTCAAGGCTGTAGAAGATTCCTTTCAGCAACCAA